CAGTAAATCAAGAAGATATTTAACAAGTGGCTCTTAAATTGTCCTACATATTGGCAAAAGTCTCAGATTGGCTTCAATCCCAATATCATACATTGATCATTGAAAAGGCTCTCTGCTATTGTTCTATTTTCAACAATTCATAGATAGTCAAATCATACCTATATTTTAGAAAGAAAGAAAAAACATCATTATCTGTGCATTAAAAAAATCTTACTGTTAACACATATAAAGTTGCTGATAACTGTAGCACTTTTTTTTACCATAAAATGTTTAGAAATTATCACTGTAAATGTGTTTTAAATTATTGTTTATTCAAGTTTTATTTGCATTTGCTTATTGAGATTAGAAAAGCATCCCGGATGTTGTGGCATGTGTGAAGTGTCTAATCAGTTGATTTTTGGAACACCCAAAGGTTCAGAGGTATGCTTTATTTGTCTTTTTATCTGCAATTTCACTATATCATTTGGTGTACTTTAAAGGAAATGCTTTTTTTTTTTACAAAGAAGGTGAAGCCAATTTCATGACTTGGACAATATCTATCAATGGCAAAACTATTGAACAGGTAATATCTGTAATATCTGGACAAACAGTTGGACTTTGATCTAAAATAGTGTGTTCGATTGTGTGCTATATTTCCTAAGGCTGTACTTCCTATGGGAACTTGTATTCTTCTGGGTAACCACTAAAGCTAAGTGGATATTCCATGTGTTGTGTCAAGAAGCAGGAGTTACAGGAGTCTCATTGTGGAGGTAAAGCAACAACCTAAGAACATTGTTAAAATGTTCATGATGGTCATGAGTAGTAAGACCTGCACCTTTCTTTAGACTTTTGTTAAAGGCTGTTCTTGAACTAGTGTACAAATTCCTACATCATCATTCAGACACATTGCACTCTGAATTTAGCTTAAGGCAGGCACTACAAAACCTAGAAGTGTAAAGCCAGTCAGCTTAAGTTATTTATTTGTTCCTAATTCAGTCATTTTACAATTTTAATTACTTGGTTTTGTCATTTTTGTGCAAACTGTAAATTAGTTTTTATTCTCTTTCAAGTTTATGTTTATGTATTTAACAAAGAAATTTAACTATGAATGTGGTGGGAGTCGAATATGTAGAAGTGAGTTTGAATCTAACTCTTACCATCAAGAAACTTATCAAATAAAATACTAATATGCTGAAACATTTACTGGTAGTTTTATTAAAGTGACATTAAAAAAATGTGCAAATATATTGTATATTGAATCATTTTATACTTAAAAGTATGTTATCTTTACCTGACATGGAAACAAAGTACGATTCAAAGATTTTTATATTTTCATTTATTAAATTGATGTTCTTTTCCATCCTCCCTGGAAAAGGAATGAATGAGTATGAAGTTTTTGTTAACTTCACAAGTTCATCTTTATGGTTTACAGTACTTCTAATCATCTGTAAGAATACATTATTTGGTTTGCTTTCTTTACTTGCCCACATTATTTGAGCAGACTTTTCACTTCACTCAACCTTGACGCATTGTATATCTACATAATACATGTTTAAAAGAAACATTTTAATCAAATTCTCAGTAACAACATGTGCATAGTTAGTTTAGTGGCAGTAATATTAGAGGCTTCCTTGAAAGTACATTGCTAGATAAGCACCTCCAAGCATACACAAAGACTTCCACAAACAGTGATGATGCTCTAAAATGTTTTTTGCACCGCAAGTAATTAATTATCCCATTAGTCAGGATACTTGTAGCTGCTTTTAATGTTGAGTCTCGCTCACAGCATACTGTGGTCCCTGTGGGCGCATAGCTGTGAACAATGTTCCTTCATTGAGACAAAGATGGTGTTTGCCCTTTCATTATCTGTGACAGCAGGCACACATCAGTCAGTGGTTGGACATGATGTATCATGTTTAGGTCTGAGTACATTGCTCTTCTTGCTTTTCTTCTTCTTCTTCTTCAGGGGTTACCACAGCAAGTCATCCTCTTCCATCTCACTCTGTCCTCTGCATCCTCTGTCCTCACTCCAGCTGCCTCTATGTCTTCTCTTACTTCATCCATATATCTCCTCTTAGGCCTTATTCTGTGTCTTTTTTCCTGGCAGGTGCATTTTTAACATCCTTCAATCAATATACCCTCCATCCGTCCTTTGGACATGTCCAAACCATCTCAGTCTCGACTCTCTAACTTTATCTCCCAGTTGTTCAACCTGTGCTGTATCACTGATGATCTCATTCCTAATCATATCCATCCTTGTCACGCCTAAGGAGAACCTCAACATCTTCATTTCCACCACTTCCAGTTCTTTCTCCTGTCTTTTTGTCGTTGCACTGGCTCCAGACCATACAACATAGCTGGTCTGTCTTGTACACATTTCCTTTGACTTTTACTGCCACCTTTTCTGTTGAAAATCAACCCTGAAATGTTTCTCCATCCACTCCATCCTGACTGGATTCTCTTTTTCATCTATTAACCACATTCCCCATTTTCCTGGACAGTGGACCCCAAGTACATGAAGTCCTGCACCTTTGTGATCTCTGCTCCTTGTAGCTTCATTGTTCCATCAGCCTCCCTCTCATTCACACACTTGTATTCTGTCTTACTATGGCTGATGTTCATTAATCTTCTTTCAAGTGCATACAAGGCCATTTACCTGGGCTCAGGACTGGCACAAGGAATACACTGGCATGTGATCCCTAGTGGCTGGTTTGTTAAGTTGACAGATTCAGAGTTTGAAAGAGAGAGCAGTCAGAGTTGTTTAGACATGCAAACAAATATCTGAAATTTATTAAAAATTCATATAAGAATAAATAACCTCTGAAATGATGCCTATATTTGTTTTCAGATTTAGCTTTTAATAAGCCTGTAATTAATTATAGAACTTTCCAAATGAAAAAAATGGATTTATATTTATGAATACATTAAAAAAAACATTACAGCACTAAGTTGTGGCTAAAAATGAGAACCATATTTTTAGGGGACCATCTCTATTTTGTGTGCTGAAATATGTCCGTGTTCATGAGTGTGTTACTGTACCACATAGTCTCTTTCCAGTGTGCATACTGTTTTACACACAGATATTTTGTACAGTGATTTGACATACTTTATATATATACATATACATATACATATATATATATATATATATATATATATATATATATATATATGGTAACAACATACATATGTGTTTGCATCAGATTATGCTTTTTTGTGTGATCATTTTATTTTTTTATTGTTGCATTTACAAATTGAAAAAATATTCCCAATTAATCTTTTAAACGTTTTTTTTAACTTGCCATTTTTATATACAGTATTTGCTTTAGACAAAGAATGTGCATGTTTGTATATGTATTCAAGTACTCTTTTTATGTGTGATTTAAAGTTTATGGACTTACATTATGAACAGTTTTCTGCAAGTCCCAAGTTTCACCAACTCAGGACATCAGATGTTTTTATCCTTCTATGCTTCCCTACAACCAAGCTGTCTTAGCTTTGCAAATAAAAATGCATTAAGAAAAACTAAATAAAAACAAGCTGCCCAAGATCAAAACCAACATGGACCCTGCATGTAATTGTTGTAAACAAACTCCAGCTACACTCCTGCATACATTTTGGACCTGTCTCAAACTGCAGACCTTTTGGCAATCTATTTTTGACACCATATCTGGGGTATGTAGAAAAACTGTACACCCATCACCACTCATCTTACTGTTTGAGTTGGTCCCTGTGGATACGTCCTTCAGCAGGTACGAGAAGGATGTGATTGCTTTTGGCTTTCTCCTGGCCAGAAGATTGATTTTGTGCAAATGGAAGAAACCACACACCACAGCATATGCACAATGGATAAGAGAGGTGGTGTATCATATCCATTTAGAAAAAATAAGATACAGTATAACCTGATGGGTTTGGTTAAAAGATTTTGAGACATGTTGCAGCCTTTTATGTCGTATGTGGAAAACATGTCAATGCCTGTCTAATTCATTTTAATCCATTTATGTATGTGTGACTGATCCGGTGTGTTAAGAAAGGGGTGGGAGGTATTTTTTTGTGTTTGTTTTGTTTTATGTTATTTGTGTTTTATATGTTAAAAATGAATATATATATATATATGTATATATATATATATATATATAAAATAGTTTGATTAAAAAAACTAATCTAAATAAAAAAATAATGAATGTATTCTACTACTTTTATTTCTGCTTTTTATCTTGCAGTGTTGTATGATGTGATTGTCAAAGCTATAAGGTCTTATTGTTTGTTTGTTTAGACCTCATTATTCTGGGTTTAAATTATGTACACATTACTGAAAAGTGGATTTATTTGGTGTATAAACAACTTCTGCTTATATTTAGTGTTTGGCACCTAAATCCTAAAGTTTGAGCCACAAAAGCTAAGAAAACTTGATAAATATACAATCTGTGTGATTCAAGCATTGTGTATGAGATTGCATAAATACAGTAGCAGAGAACCAAAGCACTACCCTCCCATGCAAGCCTATTTGCTGTAGGTTTCCAATCAATTTAACTTGGCAAACATGTTTAACCATGCTGTGGTTAGCTCCAGACTTGGCCCAGCATAAATAAGTGTGAACTACAAGAATACCAATAGTTCTTAAAGTGTTCTACCTTATTCCAATATACCTCAAGTCCTCAGGTATTAAACTGAATTTGCACCCTTTTTATGGGAAACAAAACACGGTTAACAGAATTACAAACGGGCATTACAAAAGTCAGGCAGAAAGATTAAAGGCATCAAAAGAACTACAATTTTGTCACAACATAGGCCAGCATGAGTAGCTTTTTAATTCTACTAAACAAAAGGAAAGATAATGAAAGATTGCTTTCCAGGTGGTGAGAGATTATGCTCAGCTGCAAAACCATTCATTTGAATATGACATTTCTTTCGGTGGTGTATTCTTAATTGCATGATAAAAATATATGCAACAGCATCTGTGATTTTTTATTATTATTTATTTAGTTAGTTAGTTTAACCTTTCAATTTTGCAATTTCAGGGAAGAGGCCTTGATGTCGACATACTTTGAGACAGTGCAAGACCTGCTTGCGTCGTTTGGGCCGGTTCGTGATTGTTCCAAAGACAATGGTGGCTGCAAGAAAAATTTCAAGTGTGTGTCTGATCGACAGTTGGACTCATTTGGCTGCATGGTAAGCAGCTCTTTTATATAACATCCTGGTAGAAATATATTTAAAGTGTGCCGTAGTTTAGTCAATAAAAATACATACATAATGCAACATAATGCATAATAGACATGGACAGAATGCTTTGTTGTTAAACTACAAAATGAACATTTGTTGTTGGTATTCTTTGGAGCATTTCATTGTCTGCTCTTTCATAGATAAATTTAAATTTGAAACATATTCTTACTTTTCCTCACTAGAACACTTTGACCATTTTTTAAACTTCCAGCAGTAATGTTGCAGAATGCTGAGAGGTGCATGTGTATGGCAATCACTTCTATTGAGCTATTTTGGGTGAAGTTGCCAGCTTCTGTTTTACCAGGATCTGTGTAAATATGCTGTGGCACCATGCTGAAAACCTTAACCTGTTGCTGCTCGTGTTCTTGCAGACCAAAGAAGATATGTTGGGTTGTTTTAAAACTATTCATTCATGCATGTATTTCCCCAACCATTTATTCCATTCTAAAATATAAGTAGGAACAGCAGGCGCAGACATACCAAGGTATTTTTGTCTCCACAAACTTCAATCCATCTCCTGCTGAGGGATCCCCATGCTGCTCTCTGGCCAGTTGGCATTATAATCCCTCAAGCAAGACCTGGCATGCCAATTAGACCTCTGAAGGGACCTGCTGAAGAGTCATTCTTTGCTAAGTCCCAGTTCAACTTCCCTTTAATTCCCTTTAATGTAGAGAGCTTCCTTTTGGATTTCCAGACATTATGCCTAATCCTCAAAAGGAAATGTGGCTACATGCAATTTAACTTCTTGTATTGGCTTGTTCTTTTAGTACTGTGATCACTCAGGACTCATGTCGCAAAGGTATACTGTAAAGGGAGAAGAAGCATTTGGCCTTGCTTAAAGCTGCAGTTACTAGAAACCTTACGGCAAATAAATCCCTGCAGAAGCAGCCGCCAGTTTACAATCGATATGACATCGTCATGCCTGTGATTTGTTAAAAACAGTCTGAGACACAAACTGTTTTAGGAGAAAAATGATTTCATTTCGGTTCATCAGCTCATAACAAATGATTGGATCAACTGTCCCATAAACATCTTGTCACATGCATATACTTTGATATGTCTTTATGAAAGACATGTTTATATTCATACTGTTAGACATTCTGTTTCAAAGCAGAAACAGAAAGAAAATGTGCATCATAAAATGGACAACATCATTCACATTTTCAGCTAGACTGACTCTGAGCAGTCATTCAACCTTTATTTATACAGGTTAGTCCCATTGAGCCTCGGGGGCTCATTTACAAGAGAGACCTGATTTTAACAAAAAAGTATGACAACAGTAGACAATTGTTAAAGAAAATATATAAATTGAGAAGAATAAATTAAAGAAAATGGTATAAAAAATGAAACAAAAACAGCTAGATTGCAAAGTGATGTAAAATACTTAAAACAGGAGCATGTCTGCACTGGTTTTTGCCATGAACTTAGCAGATGTTGGAAGCCACTTAGAGAGGTCAAGTTCGAGAGCTTCAGATCTTTTTGCAAGATGTTCCAGGAAACAGGAGCGGAGTAGGAGAAGGCCCTTTACCTAGTTCAGTCCTCACTGAGGGAACACTGCAGGTAATAATGTCCTGAGAGTGCACGCTGTAGTTGCACTCACACAGTGACATGTAGGAGGAGATGTATGAAGGCAGCAGACCAAGAAGTCTGCTTGAAGTTAATGATGTCCAGTTTACCAGTGAGTACAGGGTGCAATGGTGGGTACAATAGTTACAGCCAGTTATGAATCTTAGTGCACCAGTGTCCAATGAAAATGAAAATGTACCAGTGAGAAAGTCTACATGAAGTTAATGATGACCAGTTAACCAGTGAGTACAGGGTGCAATTAGTGTCTGAGTATAGGGTGCATTAGTAAACTAACTATCAGGGATTGTTGGCAACTGATTATTGTGGGACAGCAGAATTGTGTTCTACTAATAATGCTGGAAACAAGCCTTCAGGGGCAACAAATAACGCTGTGCGTGCAAGGCTTGTCACATTTCATGTATTTTGTCTCTTACATTGCACAATGCATCTCCCATAGTTTCAGATTTTGGATAATTCATATTTTTAGAATGCAACAAAAAATATCCAGCTGCCACAAAACTGCCAAGAGAACAGACATCAAGTAAAATTAAAGATAGCCCATGGGTGCTAAAAGATTTTGCAACATCTGTGGAAAAAAAAGTATTTGAAAATGTGTGTGTGTGTGTGTGTGTGTGTGTGTGTGTGTATATATATTTCTTTTTGTATTTATTTGATCTGCTAACATGATGGTGATGATTAAAACAATTAAACTTTTACGTGAGTAATATTAATATGTAACTGTTTTCTGCTTTAGACACACATAAGATATGGACACTTATGACTCACTCTGCTGAAACTATTTTTAAGAATGCCTGTTTAATAAAACCTTCCCCATACTTAACTATCTATCTATCTATGACTGTATGCTCGAGTTTAGTTTAGGAATTTCTCCATTTTTAACCCCCCTCTGATAATTTAATCAAGCAAAAACAAATTAAAGCTTTTTTTTTTTAATTATTATTTTTTCTGGAACTATAAAGATGATTGTTTTGATGTAGCAATAGCTGTAATAAGCTTTTTTTTTCTCTCTCTCTTTAGGTATTGTAGATTCATAAGTACATTTAATGGATGTGTTTTTATTTTTTCTTGTTACTTCATAAAACTTAATTTGACTTTAGTTGTAAGATTGTAAACTACAGTGTAAAAGATGTTGGCCCTGGCATATTTTCAAGCAAAGGGTGAGTTTTTGACAGCATGGGGCAGGGCTGCGTTGTAAAGTAATTAAATTGATGAGCCATCTTAATTACTGGAGGGCGGCGCTGTGAGTCATTAAGAGCTTGGATGGAGCCATAAATCGATGGCTCTTTGCTGTTTGTGTTGATCTAAGACAAACACGCACACACACAGCTGTTTGGTTGCTTTGCTCTTTTCATCAACTTGCGACAGAAACGTGTTTGAATGCATCATCCTGGTAAATCGCTTGTGTAGCTGTTCTGAAGATAACTTTGCTCTCTTTCATGACGCACTGTTCACTCAGCCTTGTGTGGTTTTGATTAGCGCTGATGGAAAATGATGAATAACAAGCAGATTTGTTGAAAATCGTAAAACAGTAGCACACTGAACAGATATGTCCAATGACTGTATGATTCAAGCCATGTTTCTTCTCTGTTCGCTGTCTCATTTTGCACAATTTACATCCTGCTTTCTTGCTGTGAGACGTATTTCTTATTCATAGACTAATATATATATGTATATATACATATATAGCTTCTGTTGTGTAAATATCTTCATGCAGTGGCAATTGCTTTAATTTCTACTAAAGAAAATACATTCCTTACTACTAAGCCTCTGTATTGAGGTTTTATTTTGTTGTTGTTTGGTTTTTGATTTCTGTTTCATTAAAGCCATCGCTCTATGGGTAATTTGATAAAATTGCACATGAACACTTATGGAGAACTGTTATTTACAAATAAAGCTTGGCTTGCTGCAAATTCTGCTCTGGCATTTTTCCTGACCAGTTGGATTTCTCCACAACTTGCACACAACATGTGGAGAAATTTCATACACACAGTTATGCCAACAGTAGCTAAACTGTAGCCGAGAGGAACACTACTGTTTTCAGACATAAATATTTAGATGATTAATAACAGAAAGTTTATGCAATCAAAACAGTATACGTTCCCTGATCAACTAGTGTTACTACTAAAATAAAAGCCTTAAATAATGTCCAACATTTTTCTGTCAGGTCGTCTGGATAGTTTCTTTGTTTTGTGCTGAAACGTTTCGCCTTCGATCCGGAAGGCTTCATCAGTCAAGGAAACACACAACGCAAAACTAATTATTCCTCCAACAGCTTACTCCAAAGTGGAACAAACCAGTTAAGTTTGTGCTAAGATGGTCTATGTGGCACGCCCCCTCCTCCATTGCCAGCCCTCTTCCTTGTTGACAGTCATGACAAACTGGTTGAAAACAACAACAAAATATATGCTCAATAATCCAGGTATACAATCCAACATTTTTCAGTAAGGTCATATGGACAGTTTTTTTTTGTTTTGTGCTGAAACGTTTCGCCTTCGATCCGGAAGACTTCATCAGTCAAGGAAAAACACAACAAAACTGGTTCTTCCTCCCACAGCTTGGAGCTTCCACTTTGGAGTAAGCTGTGGGAGGAAGAACCAGTTTTGTTGTGTGTTTCCTTGACTGATGAAGCCTTCCGGATCGAAGGCGAAACGTTTCAGCACAAAACAAAGAAACTGTCCAGATGACCTGACTGAAAAATGTTGGATTGTATACCTGGATTATTGAGCATGGGCTTTGTTGTTCCTTAAATAATGTTGTTGGGTTTTTTTTTCTAATTGAAAGGATTGTAAAGAGTATCAGGTAGCTGAAGGCTAAACGAACACAATAAGTTACTCATTATAAATTCTGACCAGCAGCTGCAATCTCTGCTCTTCACTTTAAATCACTTCAATCCAATTTCTTTCCTCCACATTTGAATTTTTTGCACAGGCGGTTTGTCAAAATTGCAGAATCTGAGCGAGGACATGCTTAAATCAATGCTTCTCAAGCTTTTCATGCTGCAAACACCTTTGGCTCCAATTAATCAAATTAATATTAAATGGGAATGGAGAGAGTATAAAATTAAACATTCTAAATAGACACAGCTCTCGTAAAAACTTAATTAATTAATTAAAAATAAAAATGCAACCAAAAAAAGTTTAGCATTTTGTTTCTAGATTGCTATTTGATGTGCAGGGTTTTTTTTTATTATTAAATATAAATAACAAATAAGAAGTTTCATTTGCTAGTAAAATAAAAGCTGCTTGATCCATCAACCTCTGATTATTAAACATATGTCAAGGATTTTTTTAGAATCATAACAATACAATAAAAATGTTGTATAGAAACCAACAAATATAAATTCAAAAGAGCTGAGAATTGTC